GTCGTTTCTATTGGTTTGCTTTTTTTCATGTATCTTATGTGATACATGTGTGTGTAATGCCTCTATTTCATTTTCTTCTTGATACATGTACATAGCCAGGACTTCCTCGTTTTCTAGATTCAGTTCCTATATTAATCTTGGAACACGGTTAGCTATTGTCTCTTCTTCTCTTGCCTTTACGCCATTCTTTGTAATCTCTCATTCTGGGACTCTGATTAGACATGAGTAACATCTTAACATTCTCTATATTCCATATCTCTTAATGTTTATTATTTCTTCTCTTTTTTTCCTCTTCTGTGATGCATTCTGTATAATTTCTTCATATGTAGCTTACATTATTCTTTTCAAATATGTTTAATCTACTCTTTAACTCTCCATGGGGTTTCAAATTTTAGCAGTTATATTTTTCCTTTCCAAAAGTTCTGGTGGGTTCTTTTTCATGTATGCCTAGTCATCTTGGATAGATTTTTATTTATGATTTTAATTTTTAATTTCTTTATGCAGCCATATCATAGTAATTAGTTTTTTGCCTCATAAATTGAATTATGTTTGTTTATTCTGCTGACTTGAGTGTCAGCAGAATTTTCTTACATGTCTTGAGATCTTTGATTCTGAATTCCTATTTGGTTGATGTTTATTTGTGGGAAATTCTGGGACACTAACTTGAAGTTATTTTTCTCCAAAGAGGATTTCTGTCTATTTCTCTTGGGAACTTATGGGCCTAAGGACCTGAAACCACTCTGACTTCCTTCCAGCAGAGTCAGCTAACATGCGATTTAAAAGATTAGCTTCTTCACCTCAAAACCAGTCTAAGTCTTTATTAAAAGATTACTGCCTACCCCACCTGCTTCAGCAATTTTGTTTTGTTTTCGTTTTGGACCCTGAGAGATTCCCTTCACTATCTCAGGGTCCTACGATGCATATCAAAGCATATCAAAGCATATTTTCTGCAACATCCAGGTGATTTGTAGCTGGAGAACTTTTCAAATGATCTAATTAACTTTTCTGTGTGAAGCTTAAACAAACCTATGTGCCAACTCCGTACTTGCATTTAAGTGTAGTGTATAAGATGGGGAGTTCCTTGCCTGAAGGAGCGCCCAATGTCCTCCATATTTTATTTTGTTCCCTCTTTTTCCTTAGACTTTTGTTATCTTTTCTGTCTGTCTCATTTGGTCTCTTTTCTCCCTTTTCCTTCTTTCAAAGGTCTCTCTTGATTTACCCTCTTACCTCAGCTACACTATTGGATTCAACTAAAGTATTCTTTCAAATTATAATTATTAGTTGAGTCCAAAAGCATTTGTTGAATGAATGACCATTTCACACTCATTAAATTCTTCAAAACATTCAAGTTCTTTGCAGATGCTTTTTACTCAAGTAACACTGGTTGGATTTTCTTCCCTTTGTGGAAAACTAATTCTTGATTATTCAACAAGATGGAAAAGCTAAAGAGTTCATCCATGAGCAAGCAATGTTGTATAGTTATTTATTTTTTAACTAATATAGTTTGTTTTTGGTGAAAATAAAAGCTATATTTAGAAAAAAATTTCCTTGATAAGAATACTTACCATGCTTCAAAATTTCCATACATTTCTAATGACATAGTACAAAATAAATTTAGAGCCTTTTGACATTTGAAGGCTAAAGCAAACTGAGTTTGCTAACCCAAATGGGTGTAAGAACCATAACTAAGCAGAAGTAGAAACATCAGATGCAAAGTGAGAAGCAAGCCCAAGCACCTCCTAAAATGAGAACAAAGATAATAACCCAAGCAATTTGGTTTGTTCTTTCAACAATGTGAAATAATAACAATGGTGGTAACCAACCTGAAATTACCTGTCTACTGACTTATACTTAGAAGATTTAGATCATAAAAAGAATAATATTATTCTAAGCTACAGTGTACCTTTTCCAGATTCACTCATGGATATGTTTTACGTTACATGGCTTTAAGGCTGTGAGTCTGCAGAGGTATACACAGCAGTCCCTAAATTATATTCATACATCAGATTGGGTAGTGGGAGTGGACAGGGATGTTCGAAGAATTCTTCTGACTCTTGGGTAGTGTGGAGATAGGTCTTACTCCCCAGATAAAATCCAGTCAGTATAATTTCTCTACGTTTTCTGTATGTAGTGTTAACACCCAGCTGTAGACTCTGCTTCTATATTTTGGGACAGAGTCTCCCTCTGTCATGCAGGCTGGAGTCCATCTGTGTGATCTTGGCTCCCTGCAACCTCTGCCTCTTGGGTTCAAGGGATTCTCATGCCTCAGCCTCCCAAGTAGCTGGGGCTACAGGTATGCACCATCACACCTGGCTAATATTTTTAGTTTTAGTAGAGATAGGGTTTCGCCATGTTGCCCAGGCTAATCTTGAACTCTTGCCTTCCAGTGACTGGCCAGCCTCAGCCTCCCAAAGTGCTGGGGTTATAGATGTGAGCCAACACACCTGGCCTGCTCCATATTTTCAATACCCCATTCACTCCAGGTATCTATCTCCATTCCACAGCATTCCTACATCATTTTCATCCCAAATACCAACATAAACTAATCAGATTTTCAAAAAGGAAAAGCTTGTGTATAGTGACACTCCAAATAGGGAAGTTTGATGTAGACTCTTGACAAAAGTATAAACCAGATTATTAGCAATGGTTTTAGGCACATAGAAAAAGTAGTGGGGATCACTAATACCAGAATGGGTTAATCTGAAAACAGATCTTACTTAACTAGCTTCCTTCCTTTTGAAAGAGTTGCTTGGACCAGTAGATTTGGGGATGCCAAAAACAGTAAATCTTTATTTCAGCAAAGCATCTAGAAAACCTTCATGAACTCCATGTTGGTGATGGTATGGTTTCATGAACTAAAGTGTTGAAAAGTGTTGGTTAATAAATGGCTGTTATCTTGGAGATCTATTTTGGTAGTGAGCTGTCTGAAGATATAGGGTAAAGAACCCCAAACCAAAGTGGGTTTTTTATTCTCTTATTTTTCCTATTCTCTTATTCAACAATCAACACAGAAGACTTCGGTGAGCTCTGGTTACCAAGAAGTGTGTGAGAATTTCCCCTACCAGCAATCAACCAATCAATCCTACAGCAGACACAAGCTGGGTATCTTCAATTCAATTCTGACACTGTCTACCTAGAGATAATGTGAGATCCTACAGGTTGAGGGCTCAGTCCCACAAGACTGCCCCGACTTCAGATGCCAATCAAAAAAGCCCCAGGTTGCTTTACTTGTGCTTCTGACTGAACAACTAGAAATTAAGAGTTCCCATGACTCCCTCCTTGGGTTTGGTTATTTGGCTAGTTCTAGTTCACAGAACTCAGGGAAACATGTTCACCGTTTTATTATAAAGGATATTACAGAGGATACAGTGGAAGAGATGCATAGGGTGATTTATGCCCTCTCTGGGAGCACCGCCATCCAGGAATCTCCAAGTGTTTTATTGTTCATGTTCCCCTCTGGAAGTTCATGTAACCCCCTCCTTTTACGTTTTTGTGGAGGCATGATTGATCAACTCATGGGCCACCGATGACCTTAACCACCCCAAGAGGTTAGAGGGTGGGGCTGAAAGTCCCAACACCCTAATCACGCTTGGTCTTTCCTGTGACCAGTCCCCATACCGAAGCTATCCAAGAGCCACCAGCTATCAGTCAATTCATTAAAGTATAAAAAGACATTCATCACTTTGGAAATTTCAACGATTTATGAGCTATATGGCTGGGAATGGGATGAAGACCAAATATATATATTTTACTATATCACAGTCTCTTTTTAAAGCCTGTTCTGTGTTACTGTTTCTTATGTAAATGGAGCCAAAGAAGGCATATTTATTAAATTTACAAATGTTATGTTAAAAGTGATTACTAGTATTTACCTGAAATTATGTCCTAAAACAAACAGGATAAAATTTAATAAGAATAAAATAAAAATTAAGATTTAAATACATGGAAGTATAGAAGTACAGACTATGTAAGGTGGAAGATAGGGATTAATTTAGCTCATATGAAATGGAGTTGGGTGTTCTATTTGAATCTAGGTAGTGTGTTTCCTAAAAGAAAAACCTAATACAGATTTGGGAGGCCTTACTGGAAGGGTATGCTTAGATCAAAGGGGCAGCTGATCAGCAGCTGGAGAACTGGAACTCAGTTCTTGGCCCACTGTATTTGAATGCTGTATTCTGACTGTCCAATTAAGAGAGGAGAACGAAAAATCAAAACACATTCAATGCAGGTTGAGTAGTGTGACAATGACAGCTTACTATGTTATCTGAAAAAACACTGAAAAGAGAATTTTTGAAGAAATGTATTAGATCTGTTGGTTACTTAATTAATAATAGTTGCTCCTACTATTTCAAGGCTTGCAGTGTCTGTAAGAATGAAATTTGGCCAGATGTGGTTGCTGGCACCTGTAATTCCAGAACTCTGGGAGGCCAAGGAGGGCCGATCATGAGGTCTGGAGTTCAAGACAAGCCTGGCCAACATGGTGAAACCCCGTCTCTACTAAAAATACAAAAAAATTAGCTGGTGTGGTAGCACAGCCTGTAGTTCCAGCTACTCGGGAAGCTGAGGCAGGAGAATTGCTTGAACCTGGGAGGTGGAGGTTGCAGTGAGCTGAGACAGCACCACTGCACTCCGGCCTGGGCAACCCAGTGAGATTCTGTCTCAAAAAAAAAAAAAAAAAAAAAAAAAAAAAGAGATTCATTTTGTGTGCTTCCTAGGGGCAAAACCAAGACCAGTGGTGTTGGAGAGGTTGATTTGATGTTCATAGATGATACAGGCTTTGGTGTTACACAGACCTGGCTGTTAATTCTGGCGTCAGCACTGGCTTTGGCAAACAGAAGGGAACTTCTGAGCTTCATCTTCCTAATGTGTTTAATAGGTATAATAAGGCTATTCTCATTTTAAGGCCTAGGAATAATGCATGTAAATTGCTTGGTTCCTGGCATAGGTAAATATTCAACAAGTAATCATGGATATATGTAACGATAAAAATAGAAACTTACACCACTGGAAATGTTCAAGCGGATAGTGGTCCGGTGGAAATATTGGAGAGAGGATTCCCACTTAAAATAGGGGACTGGGCTTAGCCGTTAGGTCGATTCCAACTTTTAGAATGGCTTTCACGTCCGCCTCGGCCTGCTGTCTCATCTCTCCCTGGCTGTGCTTTCATTCGCTTCACAAAGTAAGCAGGTCCAATCTCTGCGAACCAAGTTTAATTTATAGGCTTTGGTTGCCTTCTGGAACTCGGCTGACTTTGAAGTTAGGACAGCATGGGAGGGTGGAGGGGGAGCAGCTATGGCAATGAGGGGTTTTAAGAGAGAAAACAGTGTCCATGACAAGATGGACTTCTCTTTTAAAGGCTCCATGGGTTACTCAGAGAGGAGGTTATGAGGGTTGGTTAAGGCACGAGAGGCACAAAGTAAAAGAAGCCTTCAAACCGCACCAGGGCTTTTTGGCAAGAGCTTCGTGAAAAATAGGCTCCCTGGCAGCCGGGCGAGGCGGGTCTGGGCTTGCAGGCTGGCACTAAGGACCGGCGGTTGGGAGACTCCCAGGGACCGTGGGCACCACCAGTTTACCGCATGGATTAGGAAGACCAAAGAGAAAAAAAAAAAAAGAGGAAAGTGACAAAAAGGGGAGAACAGGTCCGAGGGCCGGAGGAGGAAGACGGAGGCTGGCTGGTCCTTAGGTGCGGCTTGTTTGCCGCCATAGGGCGGGGGTTACGAGCTGTGCAGCCAGACCCGGGGCGCTGCCACCCGCGCGCTCCCTCCGCCCGGGGCGCCCTCCTCGCCGGGGGCGAAGCTCTCCGCACGCTCTTTGCCCTTCCCGCGCCTCCGGGCTGCTGGTCGGTCCTGCCGGGGCACTTCTGAAAAGCCGTCGGCGGCTCGCAGCCTTGTTCCGACGCTGATCGCCGTCTTGATAGCTTGGCTCAGCGCCCGGCCTCCCCTGCTCCGGTCCCCGTCCCGCCCACCCGGCCTCCGCGGCCGCTTAGCCTCCAGCGCCGGAGTCCACCAGAACTCCGAGGCTCGGCCGCCGCCAAGACCCGGAGAGCGGATCCCGTTCCTGGCCGCGCGGCGCGCGCTCGCTCGCTCCTCGCGCGGGCACTGGGCATGCGCGGCGCGCGGCTGGCTCTGGCCGCGAGCGGTCGGGCGGCTCCAGACTTCACAGGCAGCGGCCAGCGAGGCGGTCTCGCCCGGCGCGGGGCCGGCGCTGTGCTCGCCTCGGAGATCGCTTCTCTTCGGCTGCGCGCAGGAGGCGGCCCCGCGGCTCGCGGACGGCTGGCGGGGCGCGGAGCGGGCTGTGGGGCTTCCTCCCGGCCGCCTCCCACCTCGACCGGGCTCGCGGCGTCTCCGGGGAAAGCCGCGGCCCCGAGGGCGGATCCGAGGTAAGAGCCCCTCGGCGAAAGGCGCGGGTCCGGGGCTCCCGGCGGCTTTGACTCTCCCCCGGTTTTGAAAATCCGCCTTTGTGTGCTGGGATCGGAGCGGTGCCAGGCGCCGCGTCCGCCTCCCTTCACTCTGACCGCTTTCAACTGGTGTTGGCAGCCAGGTGCGCGAGGGCGCTGCGGCCGGAGGCGTCCGCGGGCCGCGTGCGGACCCCGTGCAGACCCCGTGCAGACCCCGTGCAGACCGCGTGCAGACCCCGTGCAGACCGCGTGCAGACCCCGTGCAGACCGCGTGCAGACCCCGTGCAGACCCCGTGCAGACCGCGTGCAGACCCCGTGCAGACCCCGTGCAGACCCGCGCCCGGGACTCCGGGAGGCTGGGCAGGGAGGCTGCGCTGTGGCCCCGCGGTGTTCCCGGTAACCTGAGCTTCCGCACATAGAGACACCTGCGCTCAGCTGGTCCGCCGGGCGACTGCAGACCGAGGATCGCGATCTGCGCTTATTATTTTAGACTTGGGGTTTGTGAGCTGCTCTCCCCACCCGCCTCAAATGGGGAGGGGTTCTTTTCAAAATGACCCTTTAGGGCAGGGTCCCACCCTCGTTTACCCCCTCGAATTAAACTAGCTCATCGTTTCGGAATCTTTTTCAATCCCTAATAGCTGTTGACTTTCTTAGCTTGCTCCTCTTTTTTACTTTTGGGAAGACAGACTGCCATTCTCCGGTCGTGGTCAGTTCATGCATTTGGAATGGGGTTCCCCACCCATGTATCGCTGTTCTGTCCCGTGTTCTCACTCTTACTTTCTTCCTGGGACTACCTGTTTGCAAAATCTTTGCACCGATCGTTCTGCAGTGTTCCTCAAATCCTCCTCCTCCTCCCATAGCCCCTAGTACTGTTGGAATCTCGCGGAGGGCAGGACGCCTTGCTGTCAGGATTGGAAATCCGTAGACTTCTAGAGCGGGGAAACGTTAGGAATTAGAATCCTCCTTTACAAAATATGTTTTAGGGAAATGTATCACTGCTTCTCTTTTCAAGGTTTCTTGACTTCGTAAGGGGAAGGTAGAAGAGCTAATATGTTAGGATGAATTCAGATAGAACTTGGTTTTAGATGTGTGTGTCATGAGTGTGATTTTTTTTACTTTGTCATTTTTGGGAAACAGAGTTAGGATCCTGGGCAGGCTTCTTTATATTGAAAAAATAAAAAATAACTGTCTTGTGTATTGCCTCTAGTTTGTTTTCATTGAAAGGACTTCGTTCTTCCACAGCTGCTTGGGTTCTGGAAAGTGAGCACTAGTAATGTAGATCATATGTTAGTGAGTCTGTTGGAATTAAAGTCAGTGCAATCGTCTCTCTCCTAGTGTAGGTTTGTTGTTTGGGATCGGAGTTTTCTGAATGTGTTGCTGTACTTCTTAAGTTGCTGGTGTGGAAAATTTTTGGTCACGAATCCATGCTTCTACTTACAGTTAAAACAGTATAGAATTGTCACATAAAGGGTGAGGTGGAATGTATCACAAATACTATAGTGTTAATAGAATGCTTTTAGTGCAGAATACACAGATTGAGGCTATAAAATTCCACCACAAGTCATTCACTTCATAGCAGGAAAAAATAAGGAAAATAAAATTTGCTTTTAATTCTACTATTCTGAGATAACCACTGTTCACAGACTTGGTACATTCTCTTTGTAATTTTTTTTCACTTCCCAATGTCATTGAATATATATGTAGTAATTTCCAGTAAGTGTAATTTAACTTACACTATTGATAGCCCCACTCTTAATCGGGTGATGTTTCTTTTGTTTCCTATGAGGAAGCTAATGTGTAATTTTGAACACTTTGCTTGTTTGTGATCAAATATAAAGATTCATTTTGTTTTTATTTCTAGCTTTTTCCTGCATTCAAGATCTTATAGATACTGATTCTTTTCAGATGTTAGTTCTTTTCTGTGCTATGGCATAGGCTTGCTACTCTCTACTTTGTATTTATTGCATTCCAAATCCTAGTTGTTTTCTTACACTCTGCTTCACACCCTTTCCCTACTGCTTTTTATTCTTCTCTCCACTCTCCTCTTTCACTTACCTCTTCTGGTTTTGCAGCAGCTCACTTGAACCAAGGGTTGTGTAAGGAAACATAGTATCCAGGATAGGAAATGATAGCTCTTTACACTTGATCTTAGCCAACAGGCTGAGAAGCGATGATAGCTTTTTAAAAGTTGTCTCTTTAAATACTCGAAGTCTATTGGATGAATATTTTAGCATTGATTTATGTAGTACTGACATACAACTCAGATTTTCTGCGTTGAATGAAACATACTCGGTAGTTACGTGGATCATCACAAAACAACGTAAGTTAATGATAGGTTACAAACTTTCGGACATCTGTAGAGGTATGTCAAGGGGAAAAAGTGGAATTTTAATTAAAGTACTCTGGCTATAGGAAATCCCTCCTGGGAATTATTAATACTACATGAAATTGTTTGCAGCTGTTAGTGACTGAAAATATTTTTGTAAGAAAAATTCTGCAGTGGAATAGTTGCAAACATTTTAAGTTTAATATGTGTAAGAAAGTGTGAGGTCTTCAGTGCTGTACTACAGCCTTCTCAGTATTTTCTAGATGCATTTTTAAATGGGATTTTAAACAATAGACCATATTTCTTAGAAGTTTTGGGTTTACAAGAAAGCTACAAATACAGTGTCTATGTAACCCCATAGCAGCTTACCCCCTTATTAACATCTTGTATTAGTATTCATTATTATTAATGAACCAGTATCAGTACATTAGTATTAATCAAAGTTTATACTTTTTTTTAAATATTTCCTTAATTTTTAATGTCCTTTTTCTGATCCAGCACCCTACCATCCAGGGCACCACTAATGTATTTAGTTGTCATGCCTCTCTAGGCTCCTCTTGGCTGTGACAGTTTGTTAGACTTCTTGTTTTTGATGATGTTTAAGGAGTGCTGGCCAGGCATTTTGTAGAAGGCACTTTCATCGGAATTCATCTAACGTATTTTCTCATGATTAGACTGTGATTATAGGTTTTTCTTAGGAAGATCACAGAGGTAACATGCCATTTTCATCTTGTCATATCAACATGATTTGTCACTGTGATACTCATCTTTATCACCTCTCTGAGTTCGTGTTTATCAGGTTTTTCTATTTTTCTTTCCCCTTTTCATGCTGTGCTCTTAGAATGAAGTTACTGTGTATGTAGAGCCCATACTTAAGGAGTGGAGAGTTATGCTATGCTTCCCCCTTTGAGGGTGGAATATCTATATAAATTATTTGGATGTTTTATGCATGGGAGATTTGTCTCTTCTCCTCCATTTGTTTATTTACTCAATTCATACTTTTGTTGTTCTGGACTCATGGAGATACACACACACACACACACACACACACACACACAGACACAATGTAAATATAAATCTATCTAAATATTTTGGGTTATAATCCAATGCTGCTTTATTTTGTTACAGCTTGGCTCCAGTGCCTCTTTGACATACTACCATCATTGTGAGTTTTTTCCTTGCTTTCGGGTACTATGATATGCTCTAGGTTCATCTGTATGTATCTTATAACAGTCCTAGAATCAGTCATGTCTCCAAGGAATCTGGATCATTTTGCTGGGAAATGGTATTAGAAACCAAGATCTGGGTGCTAGGTGTGCTTGTTGCTACTGAGGTGTCATTGCTTCTAGGTTCTCTCATGTGACAAAGCAGGAAATACATGTGTGTATGTGAACATATCTATACATATTTTAATGTAACATTTTGTATCCATATTAAACTATGAATTTATATTTATGTCTGTAATGCTAATTCATTATCACAGGCATCATTCTAGCTTTCTCCCCTTGTTTATGTTTAAACTTATTCCAACAGTGAGAAGAAACCTGGCTTGCCTCATCTGCCACACATTTGCTCAATCATTCATTTCTATCATAGACGTATAACAGTATTGGAATTGTTAACCTATGATCCCATGGGAAACAACTTGAGCATCAAGAGTACAGTGTTTTTGTACTATTGCTTGAGCTTTTAGTCTCACAGTCTCTACTCATTTCTAGAGGTAGTCAGCTAAGCACCTTTCCTCTTATCCTTTTTAGTGAGATTGTTGCACACATTTATAATACAGTTAGATTTCTTTGTTACAATCTGCATTCCACCTTGGAATTCCTTGACCTTCTAAATAATTTGCTTACCTTTGCATACATTAAAGTTTATCCTGTCCTGTGAAGTTCTTTGGGTTTTGATAAATGCATAACTTGATGTGTCTGTCCTTATAGGATCATAGTATAATATGGAACAGTTTCAACACATTAAAAATCCTTTGTGCTTCACTCATCACCTCCAGCCCTCTCCCAGAATACCATGAATCCTTTTACTGTCTCTTTAGTTTTGACTTTTCCAGATGTTGTATAATTGGAATCACACAGCCTTGCCAGACTGGCTTCTTTCATTTAGCAATACTCATTTAAGGTTCATCCATGTTGTCTCATGGTTTAATAGCTCGTTTCTTTCTGTCATTATCAAATACATCATGGTTTGTTTAGTCACCTATTGAAGGATACCTTGGTTGCTTCTAGTTTTTGGCAACTGTGAATGAAGCTGCTATGAATTTATTGGGTAGACATGAGTTCTCATATCATTGGATAAATATCTAGGAGTGCAATTGCTGGCTCATGTAATAAGATTATGGTTTGCTTTGTAAGAAATTGCCAAACTGCTTTCCAAGTGGCTGTCCTATTACATTCTCATCAGCAATGAATGTGAGTTCTTATTGCCCCATGTCTTTGCTAGCATCTATTTTATCAGCTTTTTAAACTTTATCCATTCTAATAGGTGTGCAGTAATACGTCGTTGTTACTTTGCTGTTTCCTAATGACATATGTATGATGTTAACGTCTTTTCACATGCCCTTTTTCATCTGTACATCTTCTGTGATGTGATGGCTGTTCAGATCTTTTGCCCACTTTTTAATGGGGGTTGTTTCCTTATTGTTGAGTTTTAAGAGTTCTTCATACATTTTGTATTAGGCACTTTATCAGATATGTGTTTTGCAAATATTTTCTCCCATTTGGTTTGTCTTTTTATTTTCTTAACAGTATCTTTGTCAGAACAGATGTCTTTAATTTTAATAAGGCCAACTTATCAATTTCATGGATAGGCTTTTGGTGTTGTATTTGAAAACTCATTGCCAAGACTATCTAGTTTTTGTCTTGTGTTTTTCCTAGAAGTTTTATAGTTTTGCATTTTACGTCTAGGTATGTGATCCATTTAGAGTTAATTTTTATGAATGGTATAAGATTGTGTCTAGATTTTTAACTTTTTTTGCATCTGAATTCTAGTTGTACCAGCACTAGTAAATGTGATTTTTAAATTAACAGATTATAAATTAGGTTTAGAATTGAAAGGAAAATGTTTTTATTAAATTTTTTAGTACATGTTCTGTAAAATTACTTACTATAAACAGTTGAGAAATGACTTGGAAACTAATATATAATACAGCATGAATGTACTGTGTGCTGAGATTTGTGCCTAGACATTGTACATAATTCATTTCCCTCTTTTTTTTTTTTCTAACTCAGAGATTCTTCTTTGTAAAAGTAGAATTGTTAGTATAGAGTAACATCTGTCAGTTCTTTTAGATCTTATCATAGGAAATAATCATTTGATTTTTCACAAAAAGGATCTGGAATAAAGGATTTGAAGGGTGTATGTTGAGAAGAGGCAGTTGATGTATATACCAGCTAGAAATCTGAGACTTAACTGTATGGTCTTGAATCTTTTCCCATGCTACTTCTCCTGCTACAAGTGGCTTTTTTCAAGTACAGTTGATCCTTGAATAATGCAGGGGTTAGACGCACTGACCCCTGCCCAGTTGGAAATTTGTGTATAACTTATGACTTCCCAAAAACTTAACTAGTAAGCCTTCTGTTGGCTGGAAGCCTT